GACAATAACGATTATCGGTCGCTTGTGCCCCGTCAAGCGGCGTGTTGATATCGCCTTCCCCCTTCCCCCCTCTCACTGAAGACCGGCCCGCCGTATCGCCGCCGGCCGTCGAAAAAATCCGCCGAATATTACCGTTTACCGCCGGAAAAACCGATACTACGTTTCGTACATTTCTCGTGTGCTGTCTCTGCGAAATTGCTGGTAGAAAAGTTGTCCACAGAACAAAAAACAAAAAAAAAAAAAAAAAAAAAAAAAAAAACCATTGTAAATCCGATACATTCTAAGCTCCGCTGACAGTCTAAAACCGGTAACCTCAAAGAACCGACGTCGCGACGTCGACGCTCGACAACGATCTTACGTGAATAATAACAAATATAGCGATAGACGGTTTTTAAAAAACGGTTTGAAATCGATTTTTTTCCCGCGGTATCGGCATAAACAGAAACGGAAAAAACGCCCCGAAGTACGTTCGGTTGGTGAGAAACGTGCCGTGCGGTTAAAACTGTTGTTTTAAAGGGGGCGAATGTCGCACAAATGTCGCGAACTCGCGCCGGGCCGCACCAGAGACGAGCGTGATTCGTTTCGCCGTTCCAAAGCCGTTGATCCGTACCCCTCGGCGCACAAACCGCGGACCATTATAAATACGTGTACATTTTCTTAAAAACGATATCGAACAGTATTATTTAACTCTTCGGTTCGGCACCGAGTACAAATATTATATCGATCTGTTTCGAGACGTCGCGTCGTCGGGAAGAAAGTTTTTCACTCGGTCTCGTTTGTCTTCCGAAAACCTACTTTTGACGCGCGTCGGTTTTTTTGTTTTAATCGGCCGACCGTTACATATTTTACGCCGCCATCGGAAACGGATTTTTTTTTTTTTTTACGTTAAATTAATGTTTGGAAAGAAAGAAAAAAAAAAAAAAACATACGCAAATCGGATTCGTTCAAGGTGAAAGCGCAAGTCTTCGTTCGTCGTACCGCTGCCGCCGCGGCTGTACGCGTATAATAACATTTCAGGTTACGGTCGAGTTTTTTAATTGCATTTCGTACACTTTCGTTTTCGCTCCGGCCGCGTGTATTTTTCATCTCGATCCGAATAACTGTGTTTTTTTTTTCATGTTTAATCGTTGATAAAATTAAGAAGCCTACATTGCCGGGAGTCGTCGCGTTTGCACGCGTACCTTATAACATATTATATGTAATTTGCATATGTATTTGTAATTGATTTTTTCCGTTGTTTGAGCAGATTTACGCGATTCCCGTGTCCGTAATAACCGATCGTTGTGTTTAAAAACAATCGCGATGAAAATAACAAAAAACGGACGGGATTCGTATTACGATTTCTGCGGACACTCGTATAATATTATAATGGGTGTCCGCGTCTCGGGGCTCGGTGTCAACGCTGTGAATCGCATACGAAATTACACGGCGACACTTTGTCGTAATATAATTTCTCGTAACCGTCAAATCGGTTCTCTTCGCCGTCAACACGGTGTACAAAGTTGTAAATCATCACGATCGTAAAAAAATTAACATTTTCACGCCGTCGCGTCGTCGTCGAATCCGCAATACGAGTGCGCGCGTGCAACTCAAACGTTTTGCTTCGTGTTTTCGTTTTCGTTTTTTTTTTTTTTTTCTACACTGTTGACCTTATATTTTCCAGTGAAAACAAAAACCAAATAACGGAACCGATAGAACAATAATAATGCTACACGACGACAAGCGACCAAACCGTTTGGCGGATTTTTTCGCTGTACCAGAAATCTCCAGTCAAATATTTTATAGGGACTTCTCAATTTTTTTTTTTATTTTCCTTGTAGAGTTTGTTTCATAAAAAATGGGCGAAACCGGCAATTTGTTGATTTCGTTGAATTATGGATTGTCTCGGCGACGAGAGAAAAAATACGATTAAAAATACTTTGCTCAGAATCGTTTTTCGTTACCAATGGTTACGTAAAGTTATAAATGAAATTGTTTCCCTTCCATACAACTTTCTTTCTAAGACAGTGGCACATCAATCGGCAGTATCAGTAATTTTTTGTTGTACGGTTTTCGAAATTATACGACTTAATAAACGGCGGCAAATTATAAAAACTGATTCGCGTTATTATATTATTGTCAAATGACGGCCAATTCGTCACTGTGCTTCACGTGTTTTTTTTACTGCACGGCGGATGTCGCAGAGAATACGATGATTACAGTTATGTTTACTCGTAAACAGAAACAGCTATTACCTAAGCGATCGAAAAATTTGAAATGGATGAAAAATGTTATTATACACGTATCTTTATTATCTCCATGACGATTCCATCCCCTATAATAGTAAACAATGCAGGACTAATGTAATTTAGAAAAAAAAAACCATTGCTGCCAACCGTCATTATTGTTCGTAGACGGTGTTATCAATAATTGTTTAGTAGCTCTCTCTTTGGATCGTTTTCGAACGTATGCTACCGAAAACCGCACACTCGTTCAATATTTAGACTAGTATCGAATCTTCTTTTTCTTCTTGTCCACCAACCCTTATTTAATATCGAGCTTCAGATGAATTCGGAACTTTCGAGCATTCGAATTTCCTACGGATTTTCGACGAGCGAACAATTCGACGGGTGCGGCGACGATTCCGCACTAACGGGGTCTATAGATAAACGACGATTCGATTAAAACCACGCGATTTCAAATACAAGACGAAAATAAAACCGCATCCAGATATCAGGTATTATATTATGTCAAGCGAGTACACAACAGTGCAGATTACTACTTAACGGCCAATGGGCATTCGTGGAGCGCAGACAATCGTTATGATATATGTATTGTTTACCCTGTACCTGTAATATGTCGACGGACAGCGGAAGACTTGCGGCAAAAGTGTGTGCTCGCCCCACGCGTTTACAGACCCTATCAGAGTTCGGCACGGGTCATAGGTTAAGTTTACTCGAATACGCTGTCCGTCTGCTAAACCGCAATAACCCCACCCCCGCCCGTCATCACACCCCGTGCAGAGACGTTAACGACCACGACGGCTTTCGTAATTTACGTCCGTCTGTAAATAACGGCGATGGAAAACGTCGGGTGTTTATGAGGGGTGTTTTTTTTTTTCTTTTTTGAAATTCATACCGGGTGAAATATCGTAACGACGCGCGCGCGCGCGTACACCGGAACACGAAAACCGTCGCCGCGGCCGTTTGCCCGCTGGAGAAAAAAAAAAAAAACGTAAAAGAAAAGGGAACGACGAGGAGAGAAGCGAAAAACCGAACCCGGCGCGCGATGAACGGGCGAAAAAAAATACGCCGAAGACCGCGCGCGCGTGCGTACGACGGCGCGCACGTCTTGAAAATACACGCGTTTCCAGCGGTTCTGCCGTGCCGGCGACCGGAATACACTTTCACTGTGCAGCTACGCCGTGTCGTTAAATCGGCATTTTTAACGGTGTTATTAGCGTTTTCACTTTCACGTCTCTCGCGAGAGAATTAAATAACACGCGCGAGGAGCGCGCGTCCGCGACCGACCGACGCGACGGGTCCGTTCCGTTTCGTCTAGCGGTCCGCCGAGTCGCCGTCGCTCTTTCTCCTCGCCGCCGCCGCCGCCGCCGTTTTACCGTTATAAACCGTCAGATTTTACGTGTATATATATATATATATATATATAGACGTGCGTAAAAAAATAATAAATAAATAAAATCACGCGTAAATTGCCGGGAAAAAAACCGCCGCCGGCCGGCGAGAAAACGATACGGTCTAAAGAAAAAAAAAACCGACGAAAAACCGAGAGTTCGCACCACCTCCGGCCGCCGTTTGATTTTCCTCCGGAAACACACGCGAAACATTTTCAGTTCCCCCTACCCCCCCCCCCCCCCAACAATTCGTAGAAAATAATACGCCGCGTACAATAAAAACAATAATAATAATAATAATAATAATTATCGACTGAGTCCCTAGCAAACTTTCTATACGTATATATTATTTTCGGGCTACTGCCCCCTCGCGGTGTCATCGACACCGGAATCGTTAGTACAACAAACACCGACGACCGACGCGACCTATTCGAAAAAACGTAATTGAATTTGTTTTGCAGGAGAAGGCGGCGGCACGTCCAATCGTTCCAAACTCCCTCCTCCCCACCCCCCCCCACCACCGATAAAATTTTAAATTAGCAATTTATTTCGTTTGGTTATTTTTCGTATTTACAAATCGCGCGTAGGTATGTACTCTACGGAAACCGTTTATGTGTTTTGATGCGAAAAGTTTTATTCTTTTTTTATTTTTTCGCGTTTTACAGTCTCTATACAACACTGCGATATATTCGTTGTGTATGAAATATAAGTACACACGATAAACCGCGGATATGTAAACAACGGAATGTAAGATCGCGCCGACGACAACGGTCGTTTTCAGTGAATATACGTATCGATCGCGATATTTTATCGATTACAAGCACGCTTGGAGGACGTTTCGTTTAACACGATGATGATTCTGTGACCGTGTCATTGCGATTAGACACGAACACTCTGCTGCTACCTTACTGCAGTAAACGCGACTTGGAAAATCGTTTTGTAATCGCCCTGAACGTATTTTTTTGGCATACGCGTGAAAACCGTTTTTAAGGTCTCTTAGCGCGCTAATAAACAGCGTACGAAACAAGAAAAATTAACGATTTCTATAACTGTGAACGAATGATGTATTATTTTCGGCTATCGTGTGAAAACGTAATAATAGAAATACATACGAAGAGAGTAACTAAATCTATATATATATGTGTGTGTGTGTGTAGGCAACGATAAACCGTTGCCAGCGAAAAGCGATTCTGAGCGTAGTATTATTTGTGGTTAGGTTTTCCGCTTGTATTCCCAAGGTAACCCGTTAAAAAAAACATAGCTTATACAAACAATTGTCAGTTTTTTCCCATTTATTAAGAATGCTATTAGTAAAATCAGAAATCGTTCTCCTCAATCCACCGTCTAGATCAACAATGCTACGAGAAGAACGTTTCTGCATACAATTTTTGATAGGAGCAACATTTCTGGTAGAAAAGTCGTTAACAGACACACACACACACACACACGCAAAGAAAAATATAGTACTTAGACCAATACGTCTCTCGTTTCGCTCAGAATCTGACACTTTGCAGTTTTATACGAGTCGACATCGTATTATCTCGTTTTCATTATCAATTATACCGGATTGATTTATCAGTACAACGTTTAGTTTGGAATGTTTTTTTTCTTTTCACGTTATATGCACAGAACGGATAACACAATATCGTAACGAACGTACGTGCAGCACGGCCGATAAAGTGTGGAGATAATATCCAATCTTTACACATCGTAAATATCGGATTGCGTTAAAAACGTATAGTATTTGAAAGTGCCGATAGGAATCAATCCGCGCGCGGATATTTTCCGCGAATAGTATTTCAGACTGTATTATTATTATTATTATGCAGAAAAGCGTTTCGTTTACTCGACGTCCGTATTGCGATTTCGCAACGCGTGTTATTGTTCCGCGCGACCGTTATGCTATTCTGTTATCGACGCGCGCGAATTTCCATAATATATCATTTTCTGCGATTCGGATATACGTTTTTTAAACGTCGTAATGTCGACGCGAAGAGTAGCGTGTATATATGCGTTTCGGGCAAAAAAAGAAAAAAATTGTCGGCGATAATTGTTGTCGGCGATCTTAACGGAATACCGGTGAGAATTCATTTCGCGCGAACCGAGCGTACGGCAACACGACCGGCCGCGGTTGTGTGGACGCTGCGGCGGTGCAGCGGAATCGCGATGCCCATTTTTGAAAAACTCGAGCGGTCCGAATTCGGTTATTTCGGCGGACATCGGGACGACACGTGATTATTGTTCGGCAGTTGTAGACGGGATAAATGAAAGAAAAACAAAAAAAAAGTGCTCTGTGAAAAGTCGACTCTCCGCGAAATCGTTTTCAACCGAATTCTAGAACGAAAGAAAAAAAAAAAACAATGAAACTGTTATTGCTGTCATTTGTCACGTTTCCTCCTCCTCCGATTATTAAAAGAGTTACTTCAAGAAAAATCAAAAAAATCACCGCTGACTAATAGTAACATTTGTTTTCGAAACAGAATAGTATAAGCTCGAAAATCGGAGTGAAAATTTCCGGTACAAAAATTGTTCACAAATAGTAAAAAGAAAAAAAAACACTTAGTAAATGCAAGACCGAAACATATTGGTCCCAGCTACCGTTTATAATGTAAAAAAATAAATCGAACGCAGTATTTCTCTGAAAAAATTCGTGCACGAGTTTTCGGGGAAATTCGACAGAAATAAATTTTAAAAAATAAACCCCGCAGCCGATAATCGGAATCGAATCAAGAAATGGGATAGTTTATAGAAAAAAAAAAAAAAGTCGTCTTTTATACATGTATAACCCGCAAGGGACGCGTCATTGTCGCCTATTATGCTCGCCGTGGACGACGGTTTTCGCTGCAGCCCGCACACCTTGAATTCTTTTTTTGTGTTTTTTTTTTTTTTTTTTTTTTTTTTTTTCTGTAAACCATCAAGGTCACCCCGTCACACACATACCGCATTTCACAATGTCGCCGCGAATTTACACCCTACACGTTAGAATATTATTGTCTCGTCGCTCAAATAAGGCGCGCGCGCACATTATCTTCGTGTTTTTTTTTTTTTTTTTTGCTCCATTTCAAAACGAACGGACGAATTTTGTAAAAAGAGAGAAAAAAAAAAAACAACAAACGTGTCCGTCGATTTTTATCACCGAAACGCATTCGGCTACGGTACATCCTTATACCGTCATCCTTGGCGGCGGTTTCGAGGTCTCGGGCCGGCCGTTTCTTGGTCAGTGTGCAGACGCGGCGGCGTACGCACCGTAAACGGTTCCGCGATTTTGCCGGCCGCGGGTGTCCCGTACGTACCGAACGCGGTATCCGGTCGCGCGGATGTCAACGCGCGTGATTATCATTGCGGTCGTCATTCGATCGCGGTAATTGTTGGCGGCGGCGCGTTTTCGTACGGTTTAACGTTGTGCGGCGCACGGTCACGCCGGCGTTCGGACGGTTTTTCGCGGCGAAAATCTGTCGCGCGTGCGAAGAGCGGGCGGGCCGAAAAGAAACGGCAACAGTACCCGGTGGGAGCGGTGAGGGGGTGAGGGAGGGGGGGGGGG